AAAATCTTACTGCTCATTAGTTTCTGATACTAAGGAAGCACATGCTAATTTACATAAGTGTGGACCTCCTGGTTTCACTTCTGGCGGGGTACAGGATCTACTAGCTTCCTCAAGGCAGTGACCCCCATCAATACATTGGCTCAATACCCTTTTTTGTCTTCTGGCCTTACTTATAGGTATCCTGGGCCTCTCTTCTCAGACAGAGCCTTCATTTGAATTGCGCACAGAACTAACTTGAATGCAATCACCTCTAGTTAGGACAATCAGAGAACATGGCTTCATTTCGATGACTAAAGGAAAATCTCTCCACATTTACCAAATACCCTGGTTTCTTAGGTGTTTACAAAGAATAAAGGGACAGACTTTCACCATTTCCCCCCCAAAAAAGCTTAGGTGGTAGTGGAATAAAGCAGAGCTTTCTTCCTTTTTCCTTAGAGAAAGGTGTTAGCCCCGGAGAAGGTAAAGTAGTGAGCTCCTAGTAAATAAAGAAACAGAAACCTAATACTCCCAACATGTACAACAGCAGAATATGATTTCTGTATTAAGGGAAATGATGAATGTTTTCACATTATGGGAACAGCTTTAGCACAGCCTTAAAATAGTGCGTTAGAGATATGTGAGGACATAGAGAAATTTGTCTCTACACTTTAATCCTTTTCTCTTCCACAAGGATTTTTAGTAAGTATATGCTTTGGACTAGAGCTCAGAGAATGTAAAAGAAAATTTCTAGCCTTGAGTGTTGCTGCCACCTATATGGCAGGAAGACGGCAAACAAAACCCAACCCTTTTCCAGACGGGCATCGGCGACAGTATACTTTCTATGAAAACATACTTCAGAAATCCCCAAATTTGTTTCTTTATTTGACTATCCCAATCACAATTTAAATGATAGTATTTGCTATTTTCACCTCACTTCTCTCAAATTCTTGGAGAAATTGGACCAAATAGTTTTGTTTAGATTGGTGGGAATACACTGAGTGTATAACATAGGGGCTGATCCAAGGAAATCTTCCTTATCATGAAAACAATCCTAAATGCAACTTGATCCCTGTGGCTATGACTGTCTCAGGGAGAGGATGAAGGCTCTCAATCTTACTGTGCTATATAGATTCCACCCACCCCCGCCCCCACCCCTCACAACCGCAGGCTCTGAAACACAATAGGAAGAATTAAATAAAATGTTTTCTCAGTTGATTATAAGTTGATGTAAATGGAGATAAAATAAATGTAAGAATTCTTTTGATATAGATAAGAGAGGTTATTTCTGATGAGAAACGCAGTTGCCACTGCAGAATTAACAAGAAATCTCTTTAAAATTCTAAGGAAAACTTGTGATATGTGAAGAACACATCACAGACTGTCCTTTTATCTTAGATGGCATCATCCGAGGCCATGATGCTCAGTGAAAACACCTTCTCCCTAGAAAATACACACGCAAGATCGAAAAACCAATTGATGACTTTTCAGATAATTGCAATTAAAATAATTGCCAAGTGAATAAATGATAGGTTTTGAAGGCATGCACCAACCAATTATTGCTACTGCATAACGTTATGAATATTGGCGTTTTGCTGGCATTTGGAACTTTGCAGATTTAGGCACAGCATTGTACTAAACATGCCCTAATTATCTTTGGTGTTAAAAACCTCATATCCTTGAATAAAAAAAAATCACTGCTACCTTTCCAATTAGTAACATGTTGAAGACAGAAAGGATTCCTCAAAACGATGATGGGGAAAACATGTTTTGTGCAATGGAAAAAGGCATTTGGAGAAACAATGTCAAAAGGAAGTACCATATAGGCTCAACATTCCCCTCTGCATACCACTAGAAATAAGCCATTTTAAACATTTTTAATGCTCTATGGCTTTAGTTTTCACACAGTATTAAAATAACTGTTTCTGACTATTTGTATCATTATAATCATGCTCATAATGACGCAATTGTCACAGTCTATTTACCTGCAGTATGCTTTCTGGGATAAAGGTGAATTTATCCTAGACTTAATGAGCTTAAGACTAGAAGATCCCCCCCTCCAAAAAAAACTCAGTAATCAAGATAAATATATTTTAATACAATATTTATGAAAATCAAATTAAAGCAAAAATCCATGATATTGGAATTTTAAATAAAGATAAGATCTGAGGACAGATGAGGCTGAGAGGAGAGATGGAGTTGTAGCAGGATAGACCTCACCCAGTCCCTGTCCTGCCAATGACATGAAATGACACTTGTTGTCTTCAGGGGTCACAGTTGGACGTTTCCAGTGGCATGCTCTTACTGGAAGACTTACTAATTTCCAGTTTACATTTTCCTCTTATGTGTCATCCGTAGAGTCCTTGTTGATGAAATCACAGCACAAAGTGTTCTGGGGACCACTGTACAGGAAGCCACATAACTTCATTAGAAAGATATCTACTCAAGAAAGTTTTAACTTTGCAACATTTTTGGTCACAGCTAATTTTCAAAGTGTTTCACAATGCTAACTACATACATGTTTACAAAACAATGATTTTCATATGAAATTAGACACAATTTTGAGCATTTTACATGTAAAATAACATTTTGTGGAGAACCAAAGACTATATGGCACTGTTTTTAATAACTGTATGATCAAAGTGTATGCAATATAAAATTTTAAAATTACATGAATGAGTCTATTCTATGAAAATAAGACTTTAAAATCAATTGGAATTAATATATTCCAAGCCTTCATTTTAAATGCATGACATAAAACTGAATTTAAAAAATGCAGTTATTATGATGTGCCCTCTAAAGATTGAAGAGAGAGAATATCTTTTCTAAAACGGTGATATGAATAGTTATAAAAGACTTTTTAAAAACAGAATATTGGAGGAAAACATGCAAGGAAGGAAATAAAAAATATCCCCAACACTACCATCTAGAGATAGAATGTTAATATTTAGTAAAATATTTTCCTATCATTTTTGTAATAGTGACATGTTCAAAGTGGCCTTAATTTAATTTCTAAAATAGCAACAGAATATTTCAGACCTGAGGCCACCGTTCTGTGTTTATAAGGCTATAAATTTTACCTTATATTTGAAGTGCTTTATGGTGTTCAGATTGCTTTCCATAAACCATCTCATAGACAGGACTTTGGACGAGTCCTGTGAGGGAGCTCTCTACATGGATGGGGAAGCAAGGCTCTGAGATGCACAGTAAGGACACGCTGCCTGGACACGTGGCAATGAAGTCTTGGTGCTCAAACCTAGATTATTCCCTTATGCAATATACCCAGTGTGTAACTCCACAATGAATAATAGAATCCTGGCTTGAAAATCTGAAAATAAGATATTCCTTGCAGGGAAGTATATAAACATAAATATCACCAAGATTATTGCCAAAAAAGGAACCCAATGTAATTTCTAAATGATTTATTTATTACAATGACAAGGAAAACTCTGCATACAAGCCCATTTGTTTGCTAATACAATTACTCCACTGTGACCTAAGACTTGACATACAAAAGGACAAACACTTAATCAAGAGACAATCAGTTTTGAGTTTCTAGCTGTGGTACCATGTTGTTGATTCAGTTAATTGTGTGGCAATTTACTACTTCAAGTTCTCCTCACAACAGAAATTCCTGCAATATGTTGAACATAAATCAGTGTAATTATTTTAAAACAGACTAGTGGATTTGTGTCATAAACACACTTGAACATGGATATTAGGGAACATTATTTAAATGAGTATCTCTTAAAACTCTCATTTTTAGGAATTAAAATTTTGATACTTAATGCTGTTGGCCTCCGATATTTATATTGGTAAAAGAAGATTTTAGTCATTTGATAGGAATTTTAAAATTTTAGCAACTATAAAATATGATGTGAAAAAAATCTTTAAAAATCTCATTTAGTAATGTCAAGGACATGCTACTTCTAATTTGCTATAGCTAGTGACATCATAAAATATTTATCAAGGATTCAATATTGGTTTCCTTGGGCCTAAAAAAAATGCTAAATATGACAGCTATATAAACTTATTTTTATTGTTCTTTGAAAAAAGAATAATAGGACATAGCTATAAAAGCAAAAGTTTACCTTTAACAACTATGCCAGAACTTGAGCATTCAAGTTAGTTTTAACTGTTAAAATTACCTTTTTGAGAGGATATATCTTTATTTGATACTGCCATAATTAAAAATACAATCGGGAGTTCTGCTAGCACACAGCATGCAAGAAAATGTGTTCCACTGCCTAGCTTGTTACCCTCCTTTATTTTGAAACTTGTTCCAAGTGGCTTTTGACAGTTTTCAAAGCCCTAGTCATACACACACACACACACACACACACACAGATTTTCAAAGGGTGACGGTTTTCTATCATTATTCATATTAATACTATATTACTGTTTCTGAAGTATGAGTCAAAAGTAATTTCAAGTAATGTCATCATCTTTTAGGCAAAAAAAAGAGAACACATATTTCTATCTACTTTACAAGAGTCACCCTCACCTGATGTCTTATGTTCTGGCATATTCATTTAGGTCAGTCATTAATTATAAGCTCTTTAAGGATACAGACCATGCTATTTCAAGTTTATAGTTCTGTTCTCTGATATCCCCTACTCCCTTGCCCAGTGTATCCTCCCTTGCACAGAACTCAATGCTGGTGCACCCCAAAACGTTTGTTAAATTGAAGTGACTAGGACTTCCCTATTAGACAGATAGAGATGTATATCATATATTTAACACTTTATTTCTATTTTTCTATGGATTAGTCAATATTTGTATTCATATGCACACTAATAATCTTCTTGGTGATTTTCTATAAATTTAGGAATTATACAATATAAATCACAGCAAATGAATCAGATCACTAAAGGCCTTAATAGATGAGCACTTTATGTCTGTTTGTATTTATATTGCTTCGCATATTTTAGTCTGAGAATTCCTGCTAGTCAAGCTTCTTTCTGGGAATAGGACTATCAGAGTTTATACTTAATAAGGACAGTTGTGATGTAAGTAGATTCCCCTTCCTTAGTTCACATCTATATGGTCAACAAGATCAACCTTTAGCTAAAGACATTAGCCTCTGTGTCATTACAAGTCCAAATTAACTTGACTGCACAAGATTGGTCCCTGTTACACTGTGTATGACTTATTCAGGCTAATTGATGACTAAAGGAACTGGCTATTTGTTGACAACATTTCATGCTTAAGGATGAGATTTACCGTAGGGTGATTGATCCAAATTAAAACAACTACTAAAGCAAAATGTCTTAACCTGACAAATCAAACAAATTTGGTAACGTTTTAGATTAAATACATTAAAGCAACATTACATTTAAAAGCATTGTTTTTTACACTGTTGAAAAACAGTGAAGTTATATAATTCAGGAACTGAAAAATGGAAGAAAATCTAAAATTGTTAAATTTGCATCTCTGGGCTGGCATTCCTTGTTGGAAATAGTCAAAGAAAAGTGAGAAGCATAAAATGATTTAGATAATGATTTCCTAAAATTAGATGAATTTGATATTTTTGATTAGTAACCACACTTTGAATACATTCTGGCCAAAATATCAGCAGACCTACTGCAACCTAATAACTAGACTAATAACAACGGAGCTTATGTACAATGAGAAACAAATGGCATGTCTGGGGTTGTTAATTTGTCCAAATCCATTTCCTAGACATGAGATTCCATTTAACACAGCTTGCAGGAGCACACCTTTGCTATCCATAAATGATGCCTTCGTTCACCTGAAAAGAAAACAGATTATCTTGGGTTATATAGTGAAATAAAGAAAGAAGAAAGAAAAAAGGGAAGGAGAAAGGACAGGAGAGAAGAGGGTGGAAGAGAGGGGAGGATGAAAGAAGGGAGAAAATGAGGAAAGAAATAAAGGAAGGAAGAGAGGAAGGGAGGAAAGAAGAGAGGAAGGGAGGAAAGGAAAGAAGAAAGAAATTACCTATAATTTCTACATTTCTTTTTCTAAACTGAAGTAAATTCTTAATAAAGAAATTCTTATAAACTTGGCCCCAGGTACATTTTAATTGCACACATTAATAATACAGGTTTTTTAATTGCTAAGAAAGATGAAAAGTTATCAACAAAATGAGTTGGGTTTGAAATGAGTAAATTTCTATAAATTTCAAGCTTCTGAATTCTTCTGAGAAACTCACAAGTGCAGTTTTAAGGTCAAATGTTATAACTGTCAGTTGAAATATGATTTGAGTTATAGAATCAAAAAAGCATGTTTCTCAGAATACTTCGATGACTGTTCTTGTAAGCTAAAAAATATTACTTTATTAAATTCATTTGGCTATTAAGCTAATTGGAGCATTGTGCCTTAGTTAACTATTTCTAAACACATTTATATTAATAATGTGACCTGCATAATGATTCCCACTTCTACTGGCAGAAACTCAAAAGGCTGATTATTTAGTTCAGTTAAACCAATATTCAACATTGTACTATATACATATTACATGTATATGCCTAGAATTTTACATCTTTTAGAAGTTATTAGAGTGATGCTTACAGTTTTCCCTTCAGGTAAATTATTTAAAATATTGATACTGTTAAATATGACGGGAAGACACAGCTTACATGTTTTTACTACTGAAATTGTTCTAGAACATTTTTTTTTATCTCTAACCGTAAGAACTACGTTCTTGATGGCTATGATAGATGGGCTGCTCACACATTCTACATTTTTTCTGCTTCATGCATCATCATCAGCCATCTCCAACACTCCAGTCCTGAATCTGTCCTACTTTCTGTTACCTGATTTTTGCTGGTGATTCATGAGCCAGAATAGTGAAAGGAAAAAAAAATCCACCTTGGCTTTTCACAATGTAGTATTCCCTAGGAAACTGGGAGAAATGTAGTTTTGTTTATCAGATTCATGCAAATGCAATATTGATTGACAATGATGTACATAGATCTACACACATAACGTGCTATATAAAAACTGCTAAAATGTTCTATTAATGGCCAAATGTATACTGATTATAAACTACTTCAGAATAATGTGAAAATGCTTTTATGAATGCCTTTTTTTGTAATTCCAAGCTCTGTCTTGTCATTACCATATTCAGCTGAAACTATATTTAAATGTACTATCCCTAGTGCACTAGGAAGTAAAATTCTTAATTTTCTAAGCCAATAAGGTAATAAAAGCTCAAGGTGTCTCATTAACATTTGGATAAAATTTATGAAAATCACACAAAATTTTTTTATCATCATGAGTACAAAGGTGAGGGGCAAGGAAGTTTTTTTTTTTAATATTCTGTAGAACAGGGATTGAGCTATATTCACTGTGCATGAAACAGTTAACAAGAAGTTAACCAACGAAAGATTAAACTGAACTATTTTTGTGACAACATCTTTCAGATTCAGAAGTGACTAGGCCTTAAAGAGCCAAAGAAAGAAAGTCTAATGGCCCTAAAAACTCTAAAAAGGGAGCTGCAACTTCACATGTTGTCTCAGCGCCTCTATCACTAGACATCAAAGTTATTCCCATAGGTTCCTGGAATGTATAAACGCCCGTGAAGAAGCAAGTAGACTTCACGGAGTCTAAGCCAGAAACTTCAATCTGAGATTCACCTGTGAGTCAAAACTCTTTGCTAATGAATTATTCCAAAGAAAAGACATTGCTGAGGGAGACCTCAACCTATCAGACAAGACCTCCAGGTTCACTTGCAGGGTCAGAGTAACAAGAATGCTCTGGTCTAAAGTTGCTTTGCCAACCTTAATGGACTGCAGGCACTCACCTGGGTATACAGCTTGAACCAATAAAGAGATCACAATGGCATGATGGATAAGGTAGAGCACTCTAGAGACCAGGTGAATGACCACTCCACCAGGCATCTAAATTGTGACCTATATGCACACTTCAGCCCATTTACAAATGGGTCATCCTAGTCAGTTCAGTGCTGGAGAAACAGTGATGTCAACGAAAAAATAAACAATCTACACTGAGTTCAAAACCCATTTTACTCAAAAATAATAAATTCACAAAGTCAACTTTACTGTATTATACACATTCTAAAAATCTGACTTTATTATTGATATTTTTAAATGCTCTTTTGACATTTTAAAAATTTCAACTTCATCTTTTAAAAAATATTTTAGTTTTTCTGTGCTTCCAGTTTTCTGGCTCTCTGAAAATGCAAATTGGTTCGTATTAGCAATATAAAGCTATATGAGCTAAAGTAAAATGATGTTTAGAGGATTTGCCAAGAAAAGACTTCATTTGGAGAGAACAATATATGAGGCAATATTCTTGAACTGTGCTTGGATTAGAAAATGATTTTTTTGTTTTCATTTTTTAGATGCTGTTTGAACAACTGGCTATTCATTTAAAATGATGTAATAAATATATTAATCATTTAGAATTGCATAGATAAAACCACATAAGGTCAATATCCATTACAGCTAGAAGACTGACCACATTCAACTTCGTAACAGAGGGATTTTGCATGTACATGAAGATGTTTAAAAGAATTTTAAATGAGTGATAATATTCCAGATGAAAATGCTAAGAATGATTCATGCAGATTTAAATACACTCCTTTCCATACAAGAAGTAACAAATATACTAATGCAACTATAAGTTCAGCTGCTGAAGCACCTCTATTGGTTTGAAGACATCTTTTCAAAGCTTACCACTTAGGAATCCCAAATTTTGTGTTTCCTTCTAATTTTGTGTTTCCTTCCAGAGGAACACCACTTATACATGGTAAATAGCAGTAACTAAACCACCAAAGTAATGTTTGCAGTTTTGGAGTCCCTACCTTTGAATGACTTGATATTTTGAAGTTAATTTTTAGACATTGAGAAGTAGACAGTCATATTTTCACAGTTCAAGGAAGTCCTACTATGCCACCAATTTTAAATCTTCCTTCATGTTCAGTTTTAAGAATTTTGCCTCTTAAATGCTCATACTTCAAGGAAATGCACTCTCTCATCAAAATCTCTTACTAAATAAGCACCTCTGTCAGAAGTGTCTTAATTTCTTATCACAGAATTTTATCCACACAAGGAGCAATAAATAATTCATGTCACTGCTTCTTTGTTGTGTGTCCCTGAACTGCACAGAGCTGGAAGGCTGACAGCTGTGTCAGGACAAGCACCAAAGATCTGACATGACAAGTGACTAACAAGTTTCTTTCAGTTCATAGAGAAGGAAGACAATGGCCCAAAGTGCAGAAAGAAATCCTGAAACAAAATAAAACTGCTTCTTTCTTTTTACCTAAGTGTTTGCTATGAGCTTATTTCCAACCCACAAGCCCTGGTCATTTTATAGGACTGCCCAGCCCCCTTTATTCCTCACACTCGCTTGGCCATTTACGCCTGGCCACGGATCAATATGAGCAATTCTTGGAGAAATACGATGTCTCCATGACAACCAAGCCACAAATTCTCAGTGGAAGGCAGTGAGACCAGTAGTGAACTCTCCAGAGGTTTCTAGGCCTATAAGGCAAGATGTCTTAAAATGCAGGAATGGGCAGAGGAAAAAGCCAGAGTAATTCATTCTTTATTACCAGTTTAATGATGTCCAGTGTATAGAAAGGTACTCACTTTTTAAGTTAAGATTCTTTATCAGCACCTATATTTTCTAATTGATCTTTCTTTTTTCATATAGCCTTTTGTTTCTATCAATCAGATAGACTATGCTATATTTGAATCTTACTACAGTTCCACTCATATTGTGGGATGACAGAAATGTATTCTACTTTTGAAATAGTATAAAGCTGATCTCTTCTTGCCAAAACCAATGAACACTTCAGTAAAAAACTTGACCTATGGATGTAACAGCCTGGTAAAATGGTTAATAGAAAACTGTTTAATAAGACAGTTTAAAAACCTAGTCAAAACTAGATAATTTTAGTCAAAACTAAAAGTAATTTTAAAATAATTTTAATAGAAATCTAATGCTACCACTACCCTTCCCCATTTCATGCAAGACACATCTACATTTGTCTTTTACATGTTATGGCAGAGGGTAGAGTTAATGTGCTGCTGAAAAATTTCTGTCATTGTTAAAGATGCCTTTTCTCAGTTCTATGGATGCTGAAGCAGAAGAGTGGCTGAGAACAGACACACAGCAGCAGCTCATCTTTGAGGAATCTTGGCATAGTGGAGGGGACTGAAATACAAGCCATCGCCACTGGGCCTATTGGGGTTCAGAGATGACTTAGGGGACCTGACATAGATTGCAGGCTGCACCTTTCACTGAAAATTAAATCTCAGTAGCTCTCCTCGGGGAAGGATCAGGGGACTGTTTGCAGCTGCCCCCTGTCAGCGAAGGCTACAAGATTGGGAAATCTCTTAACTAAGCTGACAGGCCACAGAGAGGATGAATCAAAAATCTGATACATGGATCAGCACACAAAGATGCGAGAGGGTAGAGGGTGCACAGCAGCCAGAGAAAACGGGAGAAAAACGTTCTGTCAGGGAAGATAGTTAACTCTTTTGCTCATGATAATAAAGCACCTTCTAAACACCTATGGCTTTGTGGTGAACCGGCAATTGTCATTCAACGTTCACAAGATTTTTTTCTCTTAATTAGTTGTTAAGGCTAGTCATATTTCAAAAACAAAAACAGAAACAAAAGTTGATGCTTAAGTGTTTTTCTGGCCTCATCCTTCCAGTACATTTCAGTCTAATCTTTTTACAAAGAAAATACAAACATTAGTAACTTGGACAGAAGGTAAATTTTATTGAGTAAGGAAGGATTACTATTTTCTTTTGTCTTATTCTAAACAGTTGACAACCTCCATTAGTCCACTGCTGTTACGTTAAAATCCTCTCATTCGAATTAGAGTTCTGTTTGTATTTAGAAAGGTAAGTAGATGGTAATGATGACAATTTGTTTCTCTTTTCTCCCTAATTCTCCATTTCCACCTGACCCCATTATTTGAAATATTTAAAATATTGCCACTTCTCCAGTTTCCAATCTCTGCCTCTATTAACCAGTTTAGCCTAAAATTGATGATAATGAACTAGTAGTGTCAGCTTCCCTTTTCAGTCATAAAGCCTTTGTACTTCCTCCAACTGAATTCTTGATGAAAGAGGAAAAGATAACAGCTCCACACTGTGACCCCTGGAGGTGACCATTAATTTGACAGTGCAGCTGCTAAGAGAAAACAGCATTACAATGTCTTCTCCCCCCACCCTCTTCCAAGAACCCCAAAGCTGTGTCAAATTTATCATTTATACTTGACTATGTTTAAATGGCTTTCACCTGGACTCTCAGACTCTTCCAAGACACATCTGTCAGGCATGTCCTCCGTGTCTTGGAAGTTTGCCGAGTTTGAGTTGCTGTCATGCTTGACCGGACTGACTGGAGCTATTAAAAAAAAGAGAGTGCAAAGAAAGAGAAAGAGAGTGATGAAAAAGTAGTAATAAACACCATTAAACATTTCCTTTCATTTCCACAGATATTTCCAGGGACACACTATGTAAACACAAATAATAAATTGAAATAAAATGTATCCTCTAAGTATGTATTGGCAGACATGTAATTAGTTGAAAAATCTATAGATGAGACTTTATCTTAAAAGAAAAATAAGTTCATGGCATCAGCTTAAAAGCTACATAGTAACAAAGTGATCTCTTCGAAGTAGAAATCGTATTTTTAATGCATAAATCTAAAACAATATAGTCAATTAATGGCAACAAGACACAGAGAAGAACATCAGGCTGGTCAATTAGGCCCGCTATATGCTGGTGCAATGGTTCCTTTTGTCACACAAATCACAGTGAAGGAACATTTTGTATGCATTTTGGTTTTCTTCCACCGAAGTAAAAACTATGGTACCAAACACCAAATAAAAATTCCTATAAAATAAATTTCAAAATATAGAATGATATTGCAGATGATAATAAGGAGGGCTGGTGTTTTAATGGTAGGTCTTCAGACAACTGATAATGAGATTTTTTTTGTGGGTAGGATTTATGAACAGAAACAGAAGCCAGCATAAGAATCTAAAATTTCCTATAAACACATTACAACTACTAGCTCTGTTAGAGAAACACAGACATAAGTGTCCACATTTTTCCACAAGTTTTAATACTTGGTCTAAAGTATCTCCACAAGTAAAGTATTTCCCTATTATATTTGTTCAAGGAATCATTTGTCAGGAAAAGTAGATACGGTCTTCATGAAGACACTCTGAATAACAAAACAAAGCAAGTCTTCAATAATATAAATTATGTGATACTTACTTGTCTGAAGCCAAATAATATAAATATGTATATTATTGACTACATTGGAATTTTATGTATGACAAATTGCTTCAGTGAACATTGCCACTGTCTCCTCAGGTCTTGATAACATACACAACATATTATTTATAAGCCATAAATGCAATAGAGAAAATATATATTTATAAGCATAATATGATTATATGTATATAATGTATATTTATAAGAAGTAATGTTTGTTGGCCCCGGGGGAGCAGGCCTGGCCACTATTCCTAAACCTCCATTAGGAGATGAGGGAGTAAATGCAGAGGGTAGAGCTGTGTTACTTCACACGTTCAATCAGTGCCACAAAGGAGGACTGCCTGATATCCAGAGTAGTTTTTGGAGAGCTCACGCCTCCCACACTCCTCGTCTGGTTTTCATGGACTGTGCATAGCAGTGGTGACCGTGTCCTGAGGCCCACATACACACAGTTTAAAGGAGACTAGTAACATGATTCTGGTCTAGATATTCTCTCCAGTTTCACCCACCCTCTTAGAATACAGATAGTGCTGCTCTGTCCTGTGGAAGTGTGAGCAAAGTTTGAATGCACTGCTTCTCTAAAACCTTTTGGGAACAAAATATGAGAAAAAACATCCAAAATTTGATTTTGAATTAATAGACTCTATTTTTCACTTCGTGCATTTGAGTTTTCTGAAAACAAACAAACAAACAAACAAACAAACAAATACCAACATGAAAGTGGGTACCATGTTTGTTTTATTCACCTCTGTATGCCCTGGGATATGGAAGGGATTCTTGAAGGATCTGTGAAATGGATGAACGAGTGAACAAATGAATGAAGCAGAGTTACCATGCTGGATGTCCCCCGATCCAAGAGGATGTGTGCTTTAGTGTATACTTTAAATTATCTTCAACTAGATCTGTCCAGTTTCTTGTTTAGGCCCACTTGAGAGAAAAGATGCATATTTACAAAATGGTGGTGTTGAGTTAGTCTGTGACTTTGAAGGAGAGACCTAAGTAGTATGTATGACCTAGTTATTTTGATATCACTGCTTTTAATTTTCCTCATTTAGGTCATACATACTTATAGATTATTTTTGAAATGATAGAATTTTTGTGAAATGTTTAAATGGAATAATTATATGCATAAAAGTTGTACAGTACTATTACATTGGTCAAAATTTTATGGTCTGCTTTAATTTATCTCTATGTATATTATTTGTAAATTTTCTGAAATACTTACACTGGGGAATTAACATACACCTGAATCTATTACTAACAGCTAATGAAGTGGCACCTGGTTTTATATGGGCAAATGTATCACACTTGTCATCCTATATGTTATTATTTCATAACTTAAAACTTGCATCTATTCATTCATTTATTCATTCCTCCAAAAGGTTTTTCTAGACAAAACTCAGAAGGGCCTCAGAAAGCTGAAGAGAGTATGGTATTCGAACAACAAAGTTGATGTCTGCAACTGTTTGTAGTGGCAATAAAGTGGTTCCAGGATGAACTGACATCCAAAATCACTCAAGAAAACTGGAAAGTTAGATATAGTTTTAGCTTCATGATCTCTTTTGAACTCACAGGATAAGGTAGCATGCAGTTACTTTTGTCTCTACCTCTGATTTTGGAGGGTGTGGTTTGTGTTGGGGGTGGGAGAATAGAAAGCATTATTCAGATATTTTGTTTAATTACACTTTAGCTTGAAAATATGATATGGTACCAGATTTGTTATTTTTGTACTGGGTAGTTTATGGAGTGTCCAATTAAATTCATTCTGTCCATTGGGAATGACAGACATTGGAGAGGTTAATTACTGCCATTCCACTTTTTTTTTGATAGGCTAATCTTTGCAATTGTTCTTTTGGGTGTTTCTTGTAATGTTTCATCATTAAAGTCTGACACGACGAGTGGCCAAGGCTTCTCTAATGAATCATTTCAACAACGATGAAATCAACAGTTATTGATCTGGTGATTATTGTGGGTAGAGCTCTGTGCCAGACCATGTGAGGGATGAAGAAAGAAGGTATTTTTAATGTGCCCGCATACAACTTGTGATCCAGTTCGGATATAATAAAAAGTTAACTAGTAGGAGCATTAGGGATAACATTCCAAGAGTGCCATAGCTTTTAGGAATACAGAGGTAATTCCCCTGCAGTAGGGTTTGTTGGGAAGTGAAATTTGAATTAGGTCTCCTTGAGAGGGAATCTGGGTAGCCCAAAGGGAGCTCATAAAAGAAAAAGGTGTGAACCCAGGCCTGGCCAAAGAATATTGTGGTGTCACAAATACAGTTTAACAGGATGTTACTGCCTTCTTTTGTATGTATTTTTAGTGAAACGAATTCTCCTGACATATCTGAGCTTTTCCTGAACTGCTGTTGTGGCTAATTCTTCTCACCTATAGAAGTTAGCTATAGACAGGTTTTTCCTTGCCCTAGATAGTCAATAATTTGATCTTTACTGATGGTGGGCCCATTTATCACAGTAAGTTGTCCTTTCACTATACGTATTGACTTTTATTTATCAATACCTAAGTCCATTTGTAGCTCATCACTAAAGTTCTTGGATATTTTCGGTAGTTTTTGAAGATGCATTTCAGAGCTTGGCAGAGAGGTACTTTTTACATCAATACAGTGCAAATGGTTGCCAGGCTCAACCTTAACTTAAAATCAACTGTTTTGTTTCCTCTGTAATAGATCCTGAAATAGTCTTCATTTGGGGGGCAAGGGGCAAAAAAGACAAACTCTCCTTGACAGTTCTACCACTGAAAGATGTAAGGCTGTTCCATTTACTCATCACACACCTCAAAATATTGGCAACTGAAAGGCCAGTGTTCTAAATATCTCTGTAATATCTTTGGAAACTAGAGGGAGAAGTCCATGCACTTTGTATGGATGTGTTTGACTATGGTGTGCTAATTTATTCATGTTAAAGAAAATTCCTAAGGAAATAAATCATTCAATTGTAGACAATACAAAATCAGTAGTTTTTAAACTACACTTAAGAACATACAATGAGGAAACCCAGAAGATTGTATGATGAGGACTCTATAGAAGGATTTACTGAAAAAACTGTGGTGGCAGGATCAGCTTTGATTATACTTCTTCACCTCCCTCTATTCTCTATTTTGGTTTCAGTTAAAAATTCCCTCTTGCCTTTTGTCCTTATTTGCAGAAATGCAAATTTTTATTAACTTGTAAAGGAAGCTAGGTCTAGGCAACAAACCACTCCAAGAAACATCTCCCTCCATCCCCAAAGAGAGAATGACTCCTGAGGAAGATCTCTGTCCATCTCCACAAACGGCAGCTGGTTCTTAGAAACTAGGCCAGTACTGTAGTATATGTGGAGCCCTTATTAAAAATCCGTATCATTCAGTGTGACTAAAATCTGCAGTCCAGATAATGTTTTCAATACAATGACTTATGAATGATTAAAAACAAGATCCCATCCAGCATTTGTATGGAGTTTGAGGAGGTAATTGGGATATTGATAGGAAAATCATTATTAAAAATGATACAACAGTTTGAAATGTTGGTCAACTGAACAATACAAGGCACTGTAGTTAGCAGATAAAACTCAGACAAAAATCTCAATTGCATCTTACTCAAAGGCATAAAAATAATATGCAGGTTGAGGAGGTCAGGAAAGACTAAAAGACTACTTAGACTTGTGGATTGAGCAGTGGAAAAGTCAAAGAACTGAGTTCAATTCTACTAGCTTACTATGGTGGCCAAGAGTTGATCAGTTCCTTGGCTGATTATTTAGGTCTCTTCTCAACTAAATGAATCAACTAAAAAAAATCTTCCTAGAGGCTTAAGAAAGAAAAACTATGTGAAGTTCAAGTAGAAGTAAATACTAATGCAATATTCAGATCACAAAAGAATGCAACATATTTTAAATTGGAGGGAGGCGTAAATCAGTGAAAAGACTTTAAGTGATAACAAAGAGGATGTCATTTGAACAGACCACAAATTCAGTTTACAGAGTTGTTCTCTCTGGATAGATGTCGTATCAGAAAAACATATCTAGCTAAAGAGCTATGTACATATTACCCCTACTTAAAGAGTATCTACTGAGATAATCAAGTGATAGGACCTCTTGATTCTATTTGACTAGCAATAGCTACATCCTGCTT